CACTTTGCTCATTAAATGTTTAAAGCAGAGCAGTTTTCAAGCTTTTCAGAGGCTCTCCCCCACAACATTTTTAAGTTTGGTGCACCTTAGTTGAAAACTACTGTTGTACTGCCTCAGCTTACCTGGTTTATTGAATAAATAATTTACCTGACTTCTAACATTTTCCTTTGCCTAAGACAGCAGCATTGCAATGGATTACTCTTGTCCATGTTAAATAAATCAAGAGCAACTGCCCTCCATTTCATTCAGCTGCAATGATATCACTTCCCACTTATTACACATTAACTAAGATGGGAATGAAGCCTAGACAACAAAATAAAATAAAGTGCCATTCTATTTTTTCTTTTTGTTAAAGACTCCCATTGATATCTTAACATTTTTGTGTGAGAAATAAAAGTAAAATACTGTATTGAATTCATTCAAATTGACTGGATTTGTCCTAGCTTATGTAACATATTTTCATCTTTTAGATTTATAGAAAATAAGAATTTGTGAACTCTTCAAAAAGGCATACTACATCTGAGTGGGAACAAGGCTTGGCTTAATAAACACTGATTTTTTTTTACATAAATATACAAACATTATGTGCGCTCTCAACATATCAATGAATTCTCCTGTCCTACAAGCAGCAGTTACCTACTTTTTTTTTTGAAGAAATTTTTGGTGTTCCAAGCCAAATCAAGTCCAAATTTGTGAGTCAGTCAAGAACCATAAGTGGCCCTACAACTGGCAAACATCTTCCACCCACACCAGGGGTTTCAGATATTTCCAAAGTCTTTTAACTGCATCCTACGTGCAGGCCCAAGCCCAGAGGCTTGGGGTTCAGATGCCCCCACGTGTCGCCTGCCCTCAGCCATACAGATGCAGGACCAAGCTAGGGGGGAGCCTCCCGTTTCCTTAAAGTGGGCTTTAAGCCCCAACACCCCGGTGGGTACTAAACCACACCAGAAGAACAGTTACCCCCGGGAATGCTTAAGGAAAACTGCCTTCACGCACCCAGACACATGGTGTTTCCCCTGCCAAGTAAGTTCTCAACTGGGATGATGCCAGTACTGCTGCCACAAGCGGGCATTCTTGCCACAGCTACTTCCCGATCTGGGTCTGCAGCTAGACTTCCATCCACCTGGCCAAGACATCAACAGTGTCCTTGCAGCACCTCAGTTGAGAACCACTGGTTTAACCCTTAGTCAGGAGACATCAGTATCTCAGTCTCCACCTTCATTCAGATCCTTAATCACATGGCAGAGATACTTAATGGCAGCATGAGTTACTGCTTATGATGATGATGATGTCAGTGACATGAGTACCACCCCCCACAGAACCAAACACTCTTCTGATTGGCCACCAAGCTGTCATCGGGTGGTGGCAACTTTCTACAGTACACTTGGCACCACAGGATCCACATACCAAGTTGGATCACAACACTCAGATGCCAAATAAAGGCCTGACCCTGCAAAATGTTTTATGCCTGTGCTTAAGCTTTACACATCGGCAGAATGTACACAAACATGTTTGGGACCCACAGCTAGAAACAAAGACATGTGGTAACACAGGCCTGTACGTATCCAGCCACACGGGGGTAACCTAAGCGTCTTCCCATCCCTCAAACGACGACCAACACACCTGCCTCAACAGCCAAGCCTGCCTATTAGACCATCTGGCAGCTCAGCTATCTTCAACTCACCGACGTGCGTGGCGCCGGCGTCCAGGCTGTTCTCCAGCAGCTCCTTCACGGCGGTGCCGACGCTCAGCACGACCTGCCCCGAGCAGATGCGGTGCACGGACGGGCGGTCCAGGGGCCGGATGGCCGCGGCGGGAGGCGGACTGCAAGACAGGGAGGGAGGGAGCGTGTCATGGGCTGGGCTGGGCCGGGCCGGGCCGGGCCGAGCTCAGCCGCCGCCGCCGCCGCCG